TGTCTGGCCGCATCCCCATTTGGGAGCTGTTCCTTTTTGGAGAAAAAACACTTTAAATCAGAAACTGCCTGAATAGCTTCTCTGTGTCTGCACCACAGAGATGAAGTAGAGAGATGGGGCCTCATGTAGGAAAGCACAGCAACACTTAATTATATCTTATTAATAAGCATTGCTGGTACAATTCCTATCCATATAAATGCACCCTAGGCAGGAAAGATGTTTCTAACTGAGGTATCTTTTACTCAGGAAATCCAAGTTCCCTAAATACACGGAATAGCATGCTCTCTCTAGCAAGGTTCAAATACTTAGCTCCAGTCAGGTTTGGATGATCATGAAGTAGGGGCTCTCGCCTGGCGCAAGCTCCAAGTCCCAACTCCTCCCAACTCTTGTCTCTCCTTTCCTTGTTTCTTCCTCCTTCTCATCTCCTGTCTGTGTTCTTAATGTGATCTTACATTGTGTGTTTCTGTACTGCTCCTTGACAATCATTAACCCACAACTTACCTTGGTATACTAAGGTAAACTTTACAATTGTTTCTGCTCAAGGGACCCTTGAGCAGAAACAAGATGTCGAAACAAGGCACCAGCCCTCAACAGACATCCTCTAGCTCTGAAGCTAGAAGGGTTTACTCTGCCAAGATTCACAAACTTTATCTGAAATCCAAGAGACACTTCTCAGTCACCTAAAACTGTAACAATACACAAAGGAAAATATATTGCAGTATACAAAAATGGCAATAATTTAGATATTTTACAGCATATTTCTATATTACAGGATGAAATATATTTATTTAAAAATATGAGCATATATTATAATGTATTTTAGAATATATTCCTATTTATAGAAATATTTTCATTTAATTTCTCATTTCCATAGGGGCTGGTCTTGCTGATCTATCTCCTTATCATACCTTTAGACAGACCCCTGTTTAACAGTTTTCAGCTGTTTTCTCAGACTTTAAAAAAACATTCCAAAAATATTTTTAGAAATCAGTCTTACATATTTCTCTTTATGTATCAAAGTAAAAAAATCCTTTGTAAAAATGTAATAAAACAAAACATTTAAAATAAATATGAACAGAAATCAATTTCTGACACTTAAATAGTATCTTACTGTATATATTTCTCATTTTGTATCAAAGATTTATTTCCTTTGTAAAAGCTTCACTAGAAATTTAGATGTTCATCAAATGAATAATTATTTCTCTTAACCATTTGGGCCTGTGTTCTATAACGCTCACTTTCTGTCCCTTCAGATTAATAAGAGCTACAGCAAAGCTCTGCATTAAGAGGTCTCTGGGGTCACTGTTAAGAGCTGCCCATAAAAGCAGCTTAGATGAGAGCAAGAGCTGTGAAAGAGTACAGTGAACAGATTCAGACACCAGGTAAGTGACTCACTTATTTCACACTTTCACAATATAGCCATTAACTGATACCTGAGATTTATGTTTTTCATTTTCATTGAAAAGAATATGTTAACTTCATTTGGTAATAACATTTTTGGCATTAGAATTATGTAAATGTGCTACAGGAGTCAGGTTTTCATGAAATCAACAAGATAGAGGTATAGTCAAATTTGAGGCACGCTGCGAGAATGTCCTGCCCTTGGAAGCCTTCTGCTCCTTGGCCATCCTGCCCTGGAATTGTCCCGCACCCCTGGAATTCTCCTTAGAATTCTCCTACTGGAAAAGTCTCCGAATAGTTCACCTGTGTTGCCTGTTTTTACCTGGAGGAACTTCAGCTCGTTCATTGGCTGAAAGTTTCATGGGAATCAAAGTCCCACGTGGGTTACTCTGCCCTACCAGTTCCTGATTGGTTGATCAAGGTGAGATATGAGTTACTTACTCCTGACACTTAGGAATGCAGTCCAGATGTCCATCTGGCACTCCCTAGACAGGTGCCAGGGATGACCATTGATCATGATAGCCAGGCTTAGCTAAGTGCATCCCCATTTGGGAGCTGTCCCTTATCAAAAGAAAACATCTTTAAATCAGCCTGCATGAATAGCTTCTCTGTGACTGCACCACAGAGATGAAGAGAGAGATGGGGCCTCATTTGGGAAAGCACAGCAACACTTAATTCTGTCTTATTAACAAGCATTGCCGCTACACCCTACATCATTAATAGTGACAAGAAGTGTGGGGTAGAAGAGAGATCCGTCAGCTGGAACCTCCAGCTCACCAGGGACGCCATTGCCTGGGCCAAGGACCAGAACGTGCCCATGGTGGTGGTGAGCCTGGACCAGAAGAAATTAATTCTGTCTTATTAACAAGCATTGCAGCTACAAGTATTAAAACAAGAAAGTGTTATTAGTAAAACACAAAAACTTAAATAAATAACAAAAAGGATATACAAAATTTTGTCTCCTTTATTAATCTTGGGATACCTGGGGTTTGAGGATTTTGGGAAGGAGATAGAATTGGGATACCTGGGGATAAGTGGGACTCCCAAAGTATCCCAATTCTATCTTTTTCCCAAAATCCCCAAACTCAACACCCCTGGACGCCCCATTGTCTCAGCATACAATTGTCCAACCACATTCATCTCTGCTTTTCTCGACAGCCTTATGAGACCTTTGGTTGAAATGCTTCTCTCATATACAGATGCAGCCATTCAAAATGCATGGTACAAACCCGTACCGCAGGCATCTACGCGCGCGCCACCGCGCCCTACCACGGTATGTGAATGGCTGGCCAAAATGACCGACAGGGGCACTTGTGGTGCATTGGTCAGTAGTGAAAAGATTTAATCATTTAATCTCTTTACTATGCACATTTTAATCTGCTTAGTATTGAATATTTATATGGAATTTTACCACTAAAGGGAAATTTTAGTAGCTGAGCATAAAAAGAATAGGAGCATAACGCATCTGAAGGTCATAAACAATATTAATTTAGTAACATGGTCAGAAGGAGCACGTAAAAACATTTCCGAAAAAAAAACATGTAAGACCTTGATGCTTAAAATGTTTAGGGAGAAATGGAATACTGGTGTGTATTTTTTCTTTAAAATATCAAGACCTGCCATATACAGTACAGTTTACATACAGTAATATGTTTGTTCCTAATTTAGTATCTTTTATGAGCATGTGAAAGGCATGGTGAATTGGAGATTCTCAAGAATTACTTTGTATGATTTGAAACAAATCCGTGATCGGATCAAAGAAATGCTGTGGTGTTACTTTTTGTCAATGAAAAAAAAAATAATATAATAAAAATAAACGGTTACAAAGAATGTGGACCAGGGTAATACTTTGAGTTTACAGCTTGTCCAGGGTCATTCATTATTAATACTATTAGTAATATCTTTGGTAAAGACTTTGATGGCGACAGCTCAAATGCTGTACATGAGAGGTTGAGCTTTATTAGCTCCACCTGGCGGTAATTCCGGATACTATTATCTTACTTGTGGTATTATGCGGTATTGTAAGGTAACCCACGTTATGACGTGTTATATCGTGACACGCCCACCGCGTTTTACCTTGGCATACCGCGTTTTGAATGACTGCATCTGTATCAAGGATACTAACCATGCCCTCCAACTTTTCAATGATTTCCAGGGTCCAGAATGCTACATTTTTACCATGGATATCACGTCTCTCTACACCATCATTCCCCACAATGATGGTCTAACAGCCTTCAAGCACATGCTAGATGCATTTAATAACCTTTTTTATCAGCAGGTTAGTGAAGTCACCATGGGCTCCAGGGTGGGACCTAGCTATGCCAATATTTTTGTTGGCTGGGAAGAAGAATGCTTCTTTTCATCCTATACTGGCTTTGTCCCTGACCTCTACAAGCGATACATTAATGACTGCATCTGTGCTGCTACATGCTCTAATGACCAGCTGGAACACTTCCTGCATCAATTCACTAAATCTCAACCGACCCTCAAATATACAGTTAACATATCTTCCAACATTCTTTCTTTTCTAGACATAAATGTATCTATTACCAACCACAACTCTCCACCTCTGTCTATTACAAACCCACAGATTCACACAGCTATCTTCTGTACAGCTCATTTCACCCCACTCACACCATAAACTCTCTTCCTTTTTCACAGTTCCTCAGGCTACGTCGACTCTGCAATGACAACATGGATTTCCAGAACCAAGCACTCAAAATGTATTCTTTTTTCATCAACAGAGGATACCCATACCCATGTTATCGATAGGGCCTTCACACAGGCCAAAAACAGCCCTCAGATCATCAACTCAACCAGGAACTCCAGGTCTCACAACTGCATTCCTTTGGTGCTTCCCTACCACTCTAACACACTTTCTATGCCCAGGACCATTATTTACAACTACTCTATTTTACACGGTGATCCCTCCATCAGTACCCTTTCTTCTGACCGCCCAATCATCTCATACTGTCGACAACTCAATCTATGTAAACTTCTGGTTCACAACTCCTTTCACTGCACTCAGCAATTATCCCCACCAGGCAACTTCCCTTGCAACAGAACTCGCTGCATCACCTGCAAATACATATCTAACAACACACTCATTCAGGGCCCTTGAGGTCAGTTCCAGATCACCCAGGTTATCTCTTGTACCTCAACAACCTCATGTACTGTATCTCTTGCAAAAAATGCCGAGATATCTATGTTTGGGAAATCGGAAAAAGACTAGGAGACTGCTTTAGAGAACATGTTAGGGCTGTGAAGATTAAAGATTTCTCCAAGCCCATAGTTTCTTATTTCACCTCAGATGGCCATGATCACACTGATCTCTCTGTCTCTGTTCACAAAGAAGGGTTTTTTAACTCCCATAGCAGAAAGACAACAGAAACGAAACTCATCCTGAAACTAGGTTTACACCGTCCCCCTTCTCTCAAAGTGTTCCTTTGCAGGCTATGCATGCTGACACAGCTACCCACCTGAACTTTGACATATCAAATTATCATTAGAAAATATACTTTACAGTACTTTATGCAATGTCCTTGTCAATAATAATCTATTGTAAATGTATTACCTTCAAGGTACCCCTGAACAGAACCATGAGCAGACCCAATATCAGTCTGCACTCTGAATTTATCATTGTTGGACTGCCAACCCTACAGGAACAGAAGACTGCACTCTTCATCATCTTCCTCATTCTCTTCTTGGCCACGTTCCTGGGTAATCTGCTTATCGTGGTTTTAATCTCCCTTGACCAAAGACTCCACATGCCAATGTACTTCTTTCTGTGGAATTTGTCTCTTTTAGATATATTAATGACGACATCTATCATACCCAAGATGCTAGCAGGTTTTTTTAGGTCACAGAACCATTTCTTTCTCTGGTTGCTTTGGACAGATGTACTTTATCATCTCATTTACAGCTGTTGAGGGATTTCTTGTTGCAGCAATGGCTTATGACAGATATGTTGCTGTAGTGAAACCACTACATTATAACAGTTTAATCAACACCAAGGTTTGTATTACAATGACTACCACAGCCTGGGTGCTTGGCGTCCTTGCGTCTCTTTTGTCAGTAGCACCGGCAAGCACTTTGTCATTCTGTGGATCAAACCTTATCCTACATATTGTCTGTGATTACCGCACAGTAATGGTATTATCTTGTGGTTATGTCAAATCAATTTTACCCTGTTAATTGCTCAAATCAATTTTACCCTGTTAATTGCCATGATTGCAATCTGTATGCAATTTCTCTACGTCTTATGGACATATTGTAGAATCATAGCATCAGTAGTGAAACTGGAAACTGTGGAGAGCCGTAAGAAGGCCTTCTCAATGTTCTCCTCACATGTGACTGTCGTCTTTTTGTACTACGTTTCTGGTGCCATGGTTTATATTGGGTTGAGAGTTGAGAGTATCCCTCCTGATGGGCGCATCATCATTGGTGCAGTGCACTTTTTCCTCACCCCTTTACTCAACCCCATCATTTATAGTTTAAGGAATAAAAAAATCAAGGCAGCAGCTCAGAGGTACTTTATACTAAAAACACGACTAGGCCAAGTCAAAAAGTAATAAAATCAGGGATATTGGTGAAAGGGATCATGGTGAAATGTTTATGAATCTTACAAAAGCAATTTCAGAACAACATTTTACAAATATTAGTGACATTTCTTACTGTAATACTGTAATATATTGTTTACTATTGATTGTCAAAGTATTATACTTCCCATATAACATGTTAGAATTAAATGTTTGTAACTTTTTTGTAATAATATTATATTTATTTTCAAATAATCATCTACTAATCAATGTAATTTAATTAATTATTTCTCAACAGGAGAGTTTGGAAATAAATAATAACTGGCACAGTGCCACAGTAGTTAGCATTTTTGTGTCTTTGTGGAGTTTGTATGTTCTCCCCATGTTTGTGTGGGTTTGTTCCGTGTACTACAGTTTCCTTCCACAATCAAAATACATACTTGTAGCTTATTTGGCTTCTGAAAATAACTCACCCTAGTGTAAGTGTGTGTGTGTAACTGTGTGTGTCATGTGATAGCGTCCAGTCCAGGGTGTATCCTGGCTTGCACCCATTTTCTTGCCAAGATAGACTCTGGCTTCCCCTTGACCCTGAATTGAAATAAATGATTAGAAAATGAATGGATTGAAATAATTAATCACCCCAGGACACTACAGATGTAGCCATTCAGAATGTGTGTTAAAACCCTGTAATGCATTATAGGGGCTGCACTTTACTGTGGCAAAGATGATCGATAGGTGGCACTCGTGGTGCAATAGATGTTGGTGAAATGATTGCTTCATTTAATCTTTCTACTGTGCATGTTTAAATCCGTTTATTATGGAATATAATGTAGGGGTTTTGTGAATTTATTGGAACAATTTATTAATTGTAACAGTAGATCACAAGGTGATTCTTTACGGCTATTTGAGGATCATTCATCAGAACAATCAGCAATGCATACACAATTCAAATACACGGAATACATTTATTAATACATAAAACTGTGCATATAAAAATGTATCAGTCTGTCTGGATACAGATGGCAGATCTTACTGTGAGGGTTACCAAAATGCAAGATATATAATCATGTAGAGATACAAAACAAGGAATGTACTTCAGTATATTATTCGGCTATACTATATCGTTAATCAGTCTCATTAATACAACATTAGATACTCAAAAGTAAATACATCACTCATATGAATTAAATTGATATCCACTTGTGTTGAGGTAACAATAAAATTCCCAAGATGCAATGTAGAATATTGAGTTATTATCCAGATATAGATTTGGATTTACTGGGGAACGGTCACGAAAAAAACTGCTGACAGGCTCTGTCGCAGCAGAGTTCAATCAGCGTCCTCTGGCCTGGTTCTGGCTCGGTTCCCAACCAATTCTTGTGCAGCTTCAAGTCAAGAAGAAGGAAGAAGAGATTTTTGCTGCTGCATGCTGGTTAGGGTCTCTCCGAGGACCTCTCTCTAGCTCGTGTCTGGGCTGGGCTCGGAAAAAGGAAGTCTGTGCACAGAAACGTGACTTCACAGTCCAGAGCAAGTCACTTTACAATGGGAGGAAGACTGATTTGTTCCCGGCATAGTGTTACTGCTGAGTAAGAACTTATACAGATTGTCGAGAAAGAGTCCAACCATATGTTGCTCTGGTGACCAGACGCATTCACGGTAGAGCCAGGGGATTCACAAGGTCTTTTGCTGCAGCCTCAACCTCGGGCAGATCTGTTTCTATGTCCGGGCTTCCTCCTAGTTCAGCTTGAAACCATTTTTTCATGTCCCACACTCAGACAACAGTGGCAGTCACGTGATTAAATCTGAGAGAGCGCAAGAGTAGCAAGAGGAGTGAGGTCTGAGGCTTGTGCATTGCCTTTTAATGGGGAACGATATGGCTGTTGACTGGTCGATTGTTTGGCCGGCATTTGAGACCCAGGTGAGGTTACCACGCCCTGCAGGTTCCTGATTGGATGGTCAACTGTAGGAAAGTTTAACATTGATCTCTTGACCCCAGGACCATAAACCAGGTGTTTGTAAGTTCCTAGTGGGCCTGACCAGACATCCCAGCACCAGGAGTAGCCCACCCATTATGATAGTTGGAGAATCCCCAAACCTGGGAACTGTTCTTTATCAGTAGACAAACACTTTAAATGAGAACAACATAGAATAGCTTCTCTGTACCTGGACCACAGAGATGAGGGAGAGAGGTCTCAGTGGAAAAGGGAAAGCAACACTTAATTCTGACTTGTTAATAAGCATTGCTGCTACATTAATATGAAATTAAACAACTAAAGGGAAAATGTGGTAGCTGAGCATAAAAATAGCAGGAGCAGAATGTCTCTGAATGTCATAAACAATATTTCTGTAGGAATAGATATATGTTATACATACTGTATATGGCTGGTAGTGGTAGATAAAATAAAAAAAACAACAGTATCCTACTTCCTTTAGAAACATTTTATGCATCAAAAACTTTCACTTGGTCACTTACTGTGGTTGTTTTGGAAAAGTTTTGATGTGCTTATTCTGACAATATTAAGGTTATACACATTATAAAAAACTAAAATGTTTTAACTTTTTCTATGAATACTTACTCTTTTTATCGCAGTAAAGAACTATACTTTTTAAAACCCACTTAATAGGGAATATAATATGGAATCTTGTATCTTAAGAAATTAATAACAATATTAATTTAAGGATCTAAATATAATATATTTATAGAGCTCAAAGTATTATTGTAGTCTACTTTCTTTGTAGACATCAGTAATGAAGTAGGAACGGGCAACCTTCCAGCCACAGGTGCAGATCATTAGCCACAGAGCCACCGCATGCAAGTCTTTTCACAGGTGGAAATTTCACCACAGTATGCATTATGTTACATTTTTAAGCATCAGTCAAAGCATTCTGAAGTCTATATTGTTCCAATTTTAATGCGATACGGAAGATAGTTTTGGAATTAACTTTTATGTATTCCATGGCAGCCAATTTATGTAACACAGCTCTGCACTTCTTTAACAAACATTTTATTTGTCACAAAGCCTAGGAGTGTTACACCCCGCTGTGTTTGTTATGTAGAATAAACAGTTTTGACTGGGGGATGGGGAAGGAATTTTCAGTAGCATGCCCTCTCTTGTCATTGCTTGTCACGCTTTAACATAAGGCAATTGGAAATCAAATGTCCTGTTTTTTTCAACACTAATTTTTCCACACTGTAGTTTTAAAACTTGAGCAAAGACATGTCACATGCATACGGCCTGATGCTGTATGGTTTTAAAGCCACTACAGTACAGGTTGTGGGAAATACATTTATTTGTACTGTATCAAAGTGTACCTTGGTCACAGCTCCCTACATTCCAAACGATGAGTGTTTAATTGTCTATTGCACCCACTGTGTTTCGAACTTTGAGTCGCCTACTTCTTCAACTAGTTTGCAGAGAAATATCTAAATAAATTAACTATCTAGCCATTGCAAAGGGTACAACTATACCAGCCACAAATAAATAAAAAATAACTTTTTTTTCTCCTGATAATAACTGTAACAAATTGTCATGTTTCACTTACTTGTGTAACAATCATGACAGTTCCGAAATATGAAGGTTATTAATTTTTGAAGAATTTACTACTGATACATTTCTGAGCGCCGTTAACAATATTAATTTATTGATATAGATATATGTATTTAGCTGGTTGTATCAAGATATTAATTTTATATATCACAGTATTTAAATTCACATTCATGTTCTCATAGCAGGGTACTGGGGTCCCCAATACCCCGGACAGACAAAGGTGATAAAGGTGTTAAAGATCCAAAGGGGTGTCTGTGGCAGAGTTCAGCACATTTTAAATTAATGAGAGGCTATGAACAGCAGCAGCACCTGTGTCGATGTTAGTGGTTTTATAATTAATAATATAATAATAATAATTAACAATAATAATAATTAACACATCATATTATTAATTGCATTTTAAATAGATTATCTATAGAACATTTTTTTCTGTTTCAGCTCAATGGAGCAAATATAAAGTCAAAGCAGTCAGGATCTCGGAGTTTAACAAGTGCAAAAACATTTCGCGTAACAAAACTGTGAAGGAAGCAGACCCTTTCTTTGCAATCAGTACACGACTTCTCACATTTCGAAACCTTGGATGGTATGCCTCAAGGACTCATTTATAGTATAATCCAAACTAAAAAGCTGCCGGGCACATTTTGACGTTCAGGTCAAACATTCAAAGTTAGCGTCTGTTTTAAAAGGCTTTGGATTCGTGTTAAGATTTGTATCAGTTTTAACTGGTAATACAATAGTGAATATAATTGAGGTTCTACTGTTTAAGGTTTAAGCTTTTAAAGTCGTGCAATGTCTAAATTAGGCAGGGACATGTCATTGTTTCTTATTTTTGATTTTCTTTAAAAATGTTTTAAAAATCAACTTCCCACTTTAACCTTGCCATAACTATAGCAGGAATGTAGCACATTTGGGACCTTGTTCAGGAACTTTGATTTGTTTTGTGGAGCCAATATTTTTTCCTCGGTTCACACATGCTGCACTTGGAGTTTTTAATAATATTATTATTATTGTTTGATTTTATTTGTATTGTGGGTAATTGTGGTGTCCATCATGGCATTCAGTTTAGAGCAGTTTGAAAAATGTTGCAAGGCAGATGTTTTATCAATAGCCGGTTTAGGTTCTCAGTTTACCAAGGACATATCAGATGTTAAACTGAAGAAGGAATACACCCCAACACCCCAGACAGACAAAGGTGATAAAGGTGATAAAAATCCATTCAAAGGTGCAGTGTGTTAACACAAACTCTAACAGAGCCGCTTGTGCGAGCAAGGTGACTTTCTGCTCAATTGCGTGAGAGCTACAGTACAGTCAGATGGATTTTAAATTCTATAAGCAACATAAGCTGTTTGTCTAATTCACCTACTTTGTGCAGTATACGCTTTCTGAAAATGTACAATTTTGTCTCGTGCCAACTCATCAAAGATTTATTTTTTAGAATTCTGAAATTTGGATGACATGCCTCACGGACTCATTCATGGGATAATCAAAATAACCCCATCCCCCCGCGTCTCACCTTTCGCTGTTCCACACACATGAATCCCATGAAGTCAGATCCACAGATATACCAAAAAAGTAGCTCACGCAACAATGAACGGCAATGAGTTTGTATACGGTATAAATATGTTATGATCGTATGTTTTCAAAGCCACTACAGTAGAGTATGTGTGAATTATTTTTTCTTTAAGTTAAATTTTCGTAGATGAAATTTGTATTAAGACAAAATATAGATGTTCTTAATGCGGATGTAAACCTGAAAGAGACACATCGCGTTCACAACAAGCTATAATAGTGGACTACTTTATATATTTGGCTATGTAATAAACAAACCAAAAGTAATTCTCTGGACAGGCTTTGAACTGCCTGGGTGCACCGTGCTACATTACATTCCATTGCTCCTTACCACTATATGGAAAATAAATGTTTTTTTTTAAAAAACAAATGTCAAAATGTTTCCAAAATATCCACTTTTTATTTATATTTATATTTTACCTGCTAAGTTACACAATTCCACCTTTCACTGCTCTACCTGGCGGTTATACAAAGTATTGCAACCGTGTTTCAAAAACACTGCGGCACTCTGCAACCCTTGGACTGCAAACTACTACAGTATCCCCTGCACATTTTAAATGACTGGATCTGTATTTCTCTTTTTGTATCAAAGATGGAAATTCCTTCTTAAAAGTTAAAAATATAAAATTAACTGTTCATTAAGAGATTCATTGTTTCTCTTAACCTGTTGGATGTGTTTTCTCCAGTGCTCACTTTTTCTCTCTCTGGATTAATAAGAGCTACAGCTACAGCTCTGCATTAAGTGGCCTCTGGGGTCACTGTGATAAACTGGCCATAAAAGTACGTGAGATGAGAAGAAGAGTTTCTGTAACGATGGCTGGGTTGTGATGAAAGGATCCAATGCAGATGCAGGATTCCTGGGGCGGTGAGTAGGCGGACAGAGCTATCCAGGAGCTGGGTCGTAATCCGGAGGCGAAAGGTAGGTCAAGATCAGTAAACAGCACTGGTGGCGAACAATCCAAAACGAGAGACAGATACGTGGTCGGGACAAGAGCAACAGGGTCGATACCAAAAATAAACACAGGTAGTAAACAATCCACGGGGCAAGGCAAGAAACGTAGTCCGAAGGCAAAACGATGATGTCAGAAAATCCAGAAGGCAAAATGCAAGAAACGCTAGGTAGAGCCACAAGTAGGGAACTCAATACCGAGCATTGATATGCGAGTAAGAGCGGCTTAAATAATGCAGCCTGCCGCACGGTAAGACGTCTGACGAGAATTAACACGTGCGGCGGCGTTTGTAATTATCCCCCACCTGCTGGGACTGATTAGACCTCTTCGGAGCTGGTCTGGGCTGGTTAGTGGTTGTTACAGTTTCTTGTCCAGCAGTTGTGTTCTGTGCTGGAAAAGCATATTGGACAGACTCAGGCTCCAGGTACGTGACTCACTGAACTGTATTTCATGCTTACAATATTCAGCTGTTAACTGATACCTGAAGCTATTATTTTCCATTTTCATTGAAAATAATATGTTAATCTTATAAGGTGATTCAGTTTATGCCATTAGAATTATGTAAACCTAATTTTAAAATAACTCAGGATTTTTATATATAATTTTCTTAAGACAACAGGAAGATTTTAAAAACTCAAGTAAGAAAGTTTAAAATATAAACTTAGTCAAGAGAAATATCTAAAGGTCTGCTTGCCTTTAAAGCTGTCTTCTAGGGTTGCTTTTTAATGTCTTGCAGAGATTTTGAACAAAGGGAACCAAAACTCTTTTAGTATTTTTGTTATTATCTTAAAACATTTAATTGTGAGCAGTCAGGGGTTTTACAAAATTAACATATATAACAGATTTGAACTAAGTTTAATTTCAAAACAGACACAATTCTCACATTTTTTTCTGGAATCAACACTGTTCGTATTAATCAGACATTAATAATTTTGTTGTTCTTTATGCTTGTGACATTGAAATGTCACTGGAAGTTCTTGTGATTTTGATTAGTGAAGCAGGCAATAAATATTGTTACAAATGGTGAGTTAAGAAAACATGAAAAATCAGGAATTGACCGATCAGTTTAGTAATAAGTAAAATAGTTATAGTAAAATAGTTAAAATACTCCCAACTTATAAGCAATTTCTCTAGGATATAGCCAAGTGGTTGGTATATTTAGTGGCATGTAAATTCTTTGTTCTCTGGCACAACTTTGGTGAAAAGAGTAATAATCCAGACACACTTGGTTAAACATTTTTTTTTCCAATGACAATACCACAAACTACAATACACACAACAAAACATACATCACACAAATGACTATATTTACAGAATATACAAACAAGGCATTTCAAAGGCCTTACATTTTAATCACCCAGAATACCCCCAGACTTCTACTAAGTATGAAACTCTTAATACCTATAGAAGCCAAATAAGAGACAAGCTGCCTTTCTAAATTAATGTGATACAACCTACAGTTAAATGTTTCTCTCTACACCCAGGATGCCAATAAATAGGAGCCTATCTCCCTATTCTATGAGTGCACCCTAAGCAGGAAAGATGTCTCTGACCGAGGTATCTTTTACGCAGAAATCCAAGTTCCCTAAATCACAGAATAGCAAGCTCTCTCTAGCAAGGTTCAAATACTTAGCTCTAGACAGGTTTTGTTTGGATGATAAAGGGATTTTCGCCTGCTGGAAGCTTCTAGTTCCAGCTTCTCTGGACTCTTGTCTTTCCTCTTTCTTCTTCCCTGATTCTTCTTGTCTCACCTCTCCTTCTCTCTGTGCTCTTAATGCAATCTTATATTGTGTGTTTCTTTACTGCTAATTAACAATCATTAACCCACAACTTACATAGGTATACCAAGGTAAACTTTAGAATGGTTTCTGATCAAGGGACTCCCACATCTCAAAAAACATCCTCTCTTCTTTGAACCTAGAACTGTTTAGTCTGATAAGTGTCACAAACTTCTCAGTTACCTAAAACTGTAACAATATATAAACCACTGTCTGACTTGATCAAAGAAATATAATAGATATTGTTTTGCTTTTTACTTTTTATTTTTTATCGTTGTTACAGTATGTCATTGCTATGCATTAAACAAAATCAGTAAGGGATACAGTATGTTAGAATAATAGTGAAGATCAAGGATGGATATGCCATCTGTAATCCTACAATCAAGTAGTGCTACAGGATTCATGTATTCATTAAATCAACAAGAAGAAGCATGGTAAAATTAAGATTTTAGCAATCATTTCATTAGATAGTACATTCCTCCTCTTCTAATTTGTATATCAAACTTGTTTGAAAGACATTTAAAACTCCTTCTTGTCCTTCCTGAAAAGGGTTAACAGTCATTGTGCATTTTCTATTATTGGTCCTGTACCAGGACCAATTTCTAAAGTCAATTGGACCTCAATAGAAGTAAAACAGCTCATTACAGGTATGTACCATAGTGTGACATTCCTACTTGTAATTAACCTTAAGCCGTGTATAACAATTTTTTTAATTGACTTAATTTGGATTACATTTTGCATATTTGTGTAAGCAAAGCATTTGCACTTCTGGTTAGGAGGAGTTTATTCATACAACATATTCCCTTTCTCAGTGTAAAGATTCTGTGCATGGAATCCACTTTTGAGATGATGTCTTAATGTCATTGCACACAAATCACACAGACAGCTCTTCAGTCTTCAAACCACAGAGCCATCTTTTGCATTCAACTATTGAAGATCATGGTATCATTGTCACTGTTTGCCACTGGTTGGCACTGATATATGATGCTGAGCCCAGAATGAAGCAGTCTTGAACAGATTTAAATGTGTAATTATATTAATTATGACAAAATGTGTTTTTGTTGGATACCCGACTGTCTTAATGGAAGAAGTGCAGTTCTCTATTTTTTAGATAAGTTAAATAACCTGCAAGAAAAAAAATCTCTTAACAAGCCAATTTCCAATTTAGTCACTGATTTAGAATATGAAGTAAACATGTGTGAAAACAAATGTATAAGGTTTTGGTTTAACATCTTCAGAGCTCAATAAAAACTGTAACAATGAATAATGTCTGACTCATTAACTATCAGAATAATAAGTCTTGTAAGTGGTTTAAATAAGACTAATAATTCGGTTTTAATACAAACTAATTTTTAACATGTTACATAATACCTGCCCCTGAATAAAGTACTACCATAAGAATGTGTTAATACTAAAATACAGAAATGTAAAAGAATATCAAAAGGTATACACAAAATTTTGTCTCTTCTTCTTTACATTTCATGTACACTCAACACAGAAGGCCCAACCCCCGTATCAGAAGCAGTGATGCAAAAATGCTAACCTCATTGTTAATATGTTGCCTTGTTATATTGATACAAATCAGAAAATATTTATTATATTCAGGGGTTAAAATAATGCATTGCAACTTCTGTCATTTCAGGTGTATTCAGTCATTTTTGTCATAGCAGTATATGCTAAAATACATGTAAATATATCTTTATCATGATAAAGGTATGCAATACAAGTTTCACAAAATTTTCATTAAAATATTATATTTAATAATTATTCATGAGATATTCTTGTAAATTGTAAATTAATTACCTCCAGGGTACCCCTGACTTGAGCCATGAGCAGACCCAACATCACTCTGCACTCTGAATTCTTTATTGTGGGACTGCCAACTCCAGATGAACAGGACACTGCACTCTTTATCATCTTCCTCATCCTCTTCTTGGCTACATTCCTGGGCAACCTGCTCATTGTGGTGCTGATTTCCCTGGACCACCGACTCCACATGCCCATGTACTTCTTCCTGTGGAACCTGTCTGTCTTAGACATATTAATGACAACATCAATCATACCCAAGATGCTAGCTGGTCTGTTAGGTCAGAAAACCATCTTATTCACAGGTTGCTTTGGGCAGATGTACTTTATCATCTCATTTACAGCTGTGGAAGGATTCCTTGTTGCAGCAATGGCTTATGACAGATATGTTGCTGTAGTGAAACCACTGCATTACAACACCTTAATCAGCACCAAGGTTTGTATTACAATGACGACCGCAGCCTGGGTACTCGGCGTCCTTGCCTCACTTTTGTCGGTCGTCCCAGCAAGCACTTTGCCATTCTGTGGATCAAACCTTATCCTACATATTGTCTGTGACTACCGCACTGTAATGGTATTAGCTTGTGGCGATGTTACAGCTCAAATCAATTTTACCCTTTTAATTGCCACACTTGCAATCTGCATCCAATTTTTCTATGTCTTATGGACATATTGTAGAATCATAGCATCAGTAATGAAACTGAAAACTGTGGAGAGCTGTAAGAAGGCCTTCTCAATGTGCTCCTCACATGTGACTGTCGTCTTTCTATACTATGTTTCTGGTGCTGTGGTTTATATTGGGTTGAGGGTTGAGAGTATCCCTCCTGATGGGCGCATCATCATTGGTGCAGTTTTCTATTTCCTCACCCCTTTGCTCAACCCCATCATATACAGCTTAAGGAATGAGAAAATCAAGGCAGCAGCTCACAGATACTTTAAACTGAGAGCACTTATTATGAATAAGACATAATATCAGGGATGTTAATGTTCAATACTAAAAAAGAATCAAGGTGATATATTTATATATTTTAAAAAATAATTTTCAGAATCACATTACAAATGTAATTGATTTGTTTTCCTTTTCTTCAATTTCATACAGCTAAACTTTAATAAACATATTTTTTACGACAGAATGTGGAAGAAGTTACATTTCTAGTGCAGCCTAATAGGAGTACTATTTAGTAGTAATGTAGAAATACTGTACAGTTTGAAATTTATTAATGACTGACACGATGGTGCAGTGGTTAGCATTGTTGCCTCTGCTTGGAGTTTGTATTTTCTCCTTGTGTTCACATAGGTTTCCTCCAGATACTCAGTCTTCTCTTACAGACTGAAGGTTTTTTTTTTTGCAAATTTCCTTAACTACATCTAAAAAAATAAACATTCTCTTATTTGTAAAACTTTGCATGCAATAAAAAACTTTCAGAATGACGGTGATTTTCCGTTATCAATCTGTACAAGTGGATGACGGTGCCGGATTTGCACATTTAAAGAGTCCCTCCAAGCCCTACCACCTGCTTTTGTCCATTAGTCCCTCTACAGGGCCCAAAGTCCTTTCCAGCACTCCCTCGTGATGGGGAAACCCCATTTGGTGACGTCATGCTTCATCCTTCTTCTGAGGTCTACCAGGATCCTCTCCATCAGCTCCCTTGCTCCCCACTCTGCATGTGCTGGGTGAGAGTGTTCCTCATGTTCCGCAGGCCTTGTTTTGTGAGGGACAGCAGCAGCCACAGTAGGAACTGTATCCTCTTGTCCAATCCGGTTGGTACCAGCCCCAGCAGAATGTACCGGTAACTGAGCACAGCTCCCGCTCCCAGGAGTTGCATAATGTTGTCCAATCTGCCCCACACCGTTTTGGTGAAGGACCAGCTCCAGAACAAGTGCTCCTGAGTCTCCTTGCTGAAATATGTGTCCCGGGGGCAATGCGGGTTTCTGGTGAGCGAGTGTCTTTACAGGACCTCTCTGCTTTCCAGCCTCCGAAGGTATTTTTTTTTCCGACAAAATATATTTTATTCCACGAAAAAAAAAACGTCTCAAAAAGAAACATCTCACACATATTAATACTCGACGTAATAAAAACAACAGCGGAACGGTGGTGATTGTCCGTTATCAATCATTGCAAGTGGGGGCAGATTTGCGCAATTAAGAGAGACCCTCCAAACCCTACCACTTGCTATTGTCCCTTAATCCCTACTGTAACTGAGAGCAGCAGCACACTAACCCACAGTAGAGCTTTTTGGAGAACCTGAATACCCATTTTTAATAACATACTTGTGATTGCCCAGATTAAATATTTTTTAGTAAAATAAATTAAATGTCAACAAAAAACTAAAATTTTGATTGTATAAGTACTCATCCCCTTTTATATGGTTATTCCAAATTAGTTCAAGTGCACAATGTACTGTTATACAATTGAGACAAATAGTTGAGTGGCCGTTGTGTGATAATAGCAATTAACACAATTTCAGTATAAATACATACTTGTCTAAGGTCACTATATCAGGAGATATTTCAAATTTCAAAGGTAAAGAAAAAATTATAAAACAAATTTATAGAAACCAAATGACCCTTTGAGCACAGTGAAGGCAATCATAAAGTGAAGTGGGGGGTGTATTATACTATGCAGACTCTGTAGAGCAGTTTGTCTCAAAATTGAGCATCCAGGGAGGAAAAGCTGCCAGTGTGAACCTAAATTTGACTTATGCAAGAGCTAGCGAAATCAAAGTCTGATATCAGAGAAACTTTAAGAGTCTGATACTGAAAACATCTGGCAACATATTTTGTAGTGGGACAAAATAAACCTAGGAGTTTTTGGTCTACAATCCAAAAGTTAAATCTGGTGCAAACCCAGCATAGTGTATCATTCAGTCAACACCATCTCTGTTGTGGTTGCAGCCTTATGTTATGGGACTCATAGTTATTTATCACTGGTGACTAGGAAGGTTTTCAAAATTGAGGAGAAAACAAATAGACCACTAGGCAAATCTTTAAGAGGAAAACTTACTTCACTCTGCAAAAGACCAAAAATGTTTAATGAAAATCCCCACCTACGAGCAAAACAGTGACCCAAAGCACAGTGCCCAAGCTACACTGGAGTGGCTTCACAGAAAGAAGTACTGTAAATGCTGAGTGCCCCAGGCAGAATCCAGAACTGAACCTAATAAAAACTTTGATGTTGGCTGTCCAACAATGATCCTCCACCAACTTTATACAGCCACAATTACAGTGTCTAAAGTTGGTGGAGAAATCCAAAAAGACTGACAGCAGTTATTGCTGCTAAAAGGTATTTACATCAAGTATAGAGCAAAGGGATAGAATATTTATGTTAAAAATATGTTAGTTTGATTTGTCTTTTTAGATGTTGTTTTTTCTTAAATTTAAGCTTCATTCACCAATAAAGGTGTTAATAGTATTCAAACTTCCATTACAAATATTCACATTATGATAATATATACATTAATTGTAATTAAATTAGCACATCATTTGAGTGGGATGAATACTTTAAACAGGCCTAGAATATATTGATAAAAACGCCTTGGCCAACTTGATCCTTTAAACTTGAATTATGATCACGTTCATACTTACGTGGTAAAAGGCTTTCTGCTTCGTTAAGTTTCCTATACTGGGTTATACCAACTTAATGATGTACCTATGGGGCAGGTTGATAAGACATGTAGGTAGTATTAACTATCACCAGTGTTCCTAATCTAAAAGGCTAAATGAATAAACAAAATATCTTTGTTTATATTTTCTTCATTTTAAAAGACACAGAAGCATTAATTGTAAGAACTTAATATTAGGCCCCGTGTATGTGTGGTGAATTCCAACCCCTGGATGACACTATGCAACCCAGAGATAGCACATTAGCAATTTATGAGTGCAGGTTTGGGTGGACTGTCATGGATTTGCAGACCCCCCCTCCCCCAGGCACCTATGATGTACCAGTGGTCCTGTTTCAGAGAAGCATGCACAGTCCCATATAGGACTGTACAAACATTTTATTTTCAACTCACACAAAACTTATTGTCCTGAAAGGTCTTTCACTTGTTGTTTTCCTTCCAGGACACTTGGCACACTAAACACTGAACTGATTTCACTCTAGATCATTTTTTCTTTACAAAATGCAATTCATAACCAAATCTTTGCAAGTTGTTATCTCTTACTCTTCAAACTTAAATCGATTTTAGCACTGCCATCTGGATCCTGATGTGAAATCACAAGAGTTGAATAAATCTAAACTCTCTACAGATGCCATTAATTCAACCTCCCTGAGCTGTAGAAGAAAATGCGATGCGCATCTGGCTGCTAAAAACCACTGAACATCCTGTGGAATTGGGCCGATTGTATAATTTTTGGTAGTATTTGTTTTTGCGAAGAAGTACATTTTTTAGAAATAAATAACTGGTTTGTGTGCACTGTCACACTTCAGATTAATTTTGGTCTCCAAAACATAGTAGCAGCTTCA